TTTTCAATCATATTTCCCGGTCAACTATAAATAGATGACTTTTCAATCATATCTCCCTGTCAACTATAATTCGATGACTTTTCAATCATATTCCCCAGTCAACTATAATTCGATGACTTTTTAATAATATTTCCGGGTCAACTATAATCCGATGATTTTTCAATCATATTTCCCGGTCAACTATAATCCGATGACTTTTCAATCATATTTCCCGGTCAACTATAAATAGATGACTTTTCAATCATATTCCCCAGTCAACTATAATTCGATGACTTTTTAATAATATTTCCGGGTCAACTATAATTCGATGACTTTTCAATCATATTTCCCGGTCAACTATAATTCGATGACTTTTTAATCATAGTCCCCTGTCAACTATAATTCGATGACTTTTCAATATCATGTCATTTCTGGTCAGCTATAAATTTTTTCAACATTGTTGTTGTTACCCAATCAACTACAAATCAATGCTTAATCAAGTATAATCGGGGCAACTATAAATCAATATTATTCCAATGTCACGCTCATACATGTTTTTTTTTCATCAGTATTGCAATATTGATTCAACATTTATTTAGGGTTGGGATTTCAATCTCAACCATTCTGATGATTCAGATGGAAAATCAATATTTATTCAATGTAGTCTTGCTATCTGGGTTGTCATTTATACATTTTTAATATATTATAGGCTCTTTTATGTGGTTTAATATTGGTTGAAATAACATTGAAGTCATGTTGCTATGTGGGTGGTGATGGCGCATAGATAAGATGCTTGCCTTTGGTGTGGGAGACTTGGGTTTGATTCCCACTGTGACCCATACACCATTGTGTCCCTGAGCAAGACACTTAACCCCTAGTTGCTCCAGAGGCGTGCGACCTCTGACATGTATAGCAATTGTAAGTTGTTTTGGATAAAAGTGTCAGCTAAATGTAAATGATTTTTAATTAGCTATGACGTTGTTTCAGTATTAAAAAAGGGTGCAAAATGATGATGAATCAACATCACAGTCTGATGTTGATTCAATGAAATTAGCGTTGAGAGCAGAATGCCGATTCAACATAGTTTCAACGTCATTTCAATAGTAATATTGGTTGAAATATCATTGAAGTCAAGTTGATTGTTAGTTAGCTATCATTTCAACGTTGTTACAATAGTAATATTGGTTGAAATAACATTGAAGTCACATTGATTTTTAGTTAGCTATGATTTTAACATTGTTTCAATAATGTTTGCTATCTGGGTGTAGATGCCATAAATGATCAAAACAAAGCTTTTTTTCTAAGATGCTTGCACCATTCCCTTTTGAAGTATTTCCACAGAGCATTGCACAATCTACACCTCCTACCAGCATGAGCAACCCATTTTAATCCCAGGGTGTCACATATAGAAGCTTTATCAAGACCCCTTGGTGTCACTTGTTAACACCCTGGGTACCCCTTTAGCATCGTTTTTGTACCTGTAGGGCTCTGTGGTCAAGTTAGCAACAATAAATATGCAATGTGTGGTTAAACTTTTGAAAATAAAACTAGTGGTTAAAATTGTGAAACGTTGCAGTTTGGTTATGGTTGGCCAAAACTACTTGGTTAGGTTTTGGAAAAGATCATCGTTTGTGACTATTACGTGACTTAAATTACATAAGTTATGTAACATAACTAAAATAAATTAATGTTGACTTTTTGTTTCACACGGGTCTCCTGGGTCAAAGTCCGGTTTCTGACCCACCCATCCACCCCAACAACCTCCTTACTCTTACCTTTCTGTTTTTTATAGTAGTACTTTTGAACAATGGCACTTAAGGCATGTGCCTTGGTACCAGATTCCGTAGGTGGCTATTTGACACTCTGGGAATGAGAACAGGCTGGCATGACTCCAGAGATGGGGACTCCAGTTTGAGACTCGAGTTGCACTTAAGTCACACACACAGTGACTTCAGACTTGACTTCAGACTTGTCCTCAAAAGACTTCACACTTGACTTGGACTCGAGGTGGGGGACTCGTGAACAATGTTTATTTTTAGGAAACGTCTTATGAACTTGCTGTTATTCCCCTCCCTGCGTTATAACCTGCCTATGTAACACATTTAATGCTTTAGCAACGACCTACAAGAGGTTAACTCCAACTGTTGTTCTTTATGAAAAGCTGAATTAGCCTTTGTTTGCTTGCCAAACTTGTGATAGTCGGTTAACACAATCATTTACGATCCGCTGGCTGCCATCACGTTTATTATAAATGTTGACTGCAAACAGGTGACAGGTTTATTGTTGATCCTATAACGTTACAGTTTTATTTAGTTATAACGTTAACACTGGTTTGAGATTCTGTGTTGACTGCCAATAGTTTATAAACTGTGACTAGTTGTAGACGCACTGTACATTAGGCTACATGGTTGTGCTCTGTGAAAAACATGTTACAGGTTTATTGTTGATCATGTAACGTTACAGTTTTATTTAGTTAAAGTGGGTTTGAGAGTAAGTTAGTTAATAAGCTGTCAGTATTTGCATTGCACATTACATGGTTGTGCTCTGTAAGTGAAAAACAGGTTACAGTTACAGGATTTGTTATAGCTATGCAGTGTTATAAGCAGCCTGGATTGAACGCAGCAGGTGATGCAACATTCATTATAACCACGAGAGACTTCAGACTTGACTTGGACTCTAGCTCAGAGACTTGTGAGCATCTCTTCATGACACAGGGTGTAAATTGTCTAATACCTAAAACAAACAAAAAAAGATTAGCTTATAATCGACAACTGGAGGCACATCAGTTTACTCAATGATGATTAGAACATGCTGTTATATTTGCCATGAGATTTGAAGTGTTCTAGACTTAAATTACTGATAAATCCACCTGGATTTATGAGTAATATTTTAAACAACATAAGATTTGGTTTGATCTTTTAATTGATTATTCTGAAATGAGCACTGAAAATAGTTCTTTGTCACATTTGAGCACCCTTCATTTTTTATTCTCTTTAAAGATTTGGATTTGGGACATAGTTTTGCCGTGCACTGCTCAAAGATTCTGTCTAGAAAGGGTTATATGGCAAGCCTATCCAGTCTCTGTTGTTGGGATCTTGTAGGGGCAGGTTTGGTTATCAGCAAAGATATTCTAGAAATATTAATACATTATTAATATAATAAAATTATTAATCAACATTAATAAATATGGGGCACCACCCGGGAATCAGGGGCCAATTAAATTAAAATGCTATTATCTATTCTAAGCAAACACACATACAGAAATCAGCAAGCGTGTAGAGAGGTGATGGAGGTGCGGGTGTGACTACCAGTTCAGATTGGTGGCTTAGACTGCTAAAATCAAAACAGGGAGTTCTGGGATGCCAAAATGTTGGAAACCCTCTTCCTGCACTCACAATGGTGTAGAGCACAACTGGAGCTAGGTTACCTGTGGGTCACAGGTATGTGTAGTTGCAGATGTTTCTTGTAGTGTGCAACCATGTATATGTGTAGGTTAGTATAACAAAGATAGGCTTTCACTCACTGTCAGTTCTCTGCCTTTAGAATTTGACAAAATCCCATTAGTGGCGCTACTCACAGTAACAGGATTATACAGGTAAAAAAAAAATGGTGGTCTTGACTTTTTGGACTTCTCCGGCTTGAATAACATGTTTATGATTAACTGGTTAAAGCAGTTGAAATGACTTCTGCATGTGCATTCCTCAGTATTTCCTAATACCTAATCAACAAAGTAGGTAGTTTGTCAAAGCCTCCCAAAATAACAATAATGTATAAAACAATCAATACAACAGGTTTTTCAAAAATTGAGAATCACTGTATTTCCCAGAGGTCTAAGCATTCAGTCATAAATGTGAGTCTGATGGTCCAGTAGGATGGAAATTAGCTGCATACAGATACACGACCAAACGCATGATTAGAAAAACAGGTTTGCGGTGGAAGCCTTGAGTTACTGAGCCTGTATTTTCCCACAATTACCACTAGATGTTACTAATTGTTTTACTAATTGTGAGTGTCATCTGAAAATGTATGCTCTAATAGAATATTTCCTCGCCCTCTGTACATACGATGCATTTGTATTCCTATAATTTTTTTCTGTGTATTATCATTTATTTTTTCTATCCTTTTGTATTTGAATTGTTGTTATTTTCTATTTGGTATATATAGGACATAGATTCTAAGGCTTGTGTATAAATGTGTTACACAAACAAACGTGTCTTGCTGTGTCACTTCAAACCTTGAGCTGTTGTTTATTGTGGACCTGCTTTTGTGTAAAGGAACTTTGTTAACACCATGAATATTACTGTTAAAAATATCACCTATAATATTACTATTACAAGAATTGTAATAGTCACCTATCTTCATGAACAGCTTTTAATGTGATGGTGAACATGCCTTGTGTGTAATGTTTATTCCTTCACATGTAAAAAAGGAACTGTTATATCAGAGAGAACTGTGGAATATTATTGTCTGCAGCATCTCGCCACGCTTCACCTGGTTTCTTTTTGGTTTCTTCTTACTGAGGAGGACATCTATTTGAATCCGGACAATTTCAGCTATTTGAATGAACATTTGATCTGCTGGGACATTGTGGTTTTGAAGGTTAAATGTGTGTGGGAAACTATAACAATGTTTGCAATGTTTGTTTGATGTGTCGGAGTGCAGCCGAGCCTCCATCCATGTTAAACCCATCATATGGACTTATTTCGTTAATGCAATTTTTATCGTGTATACAGTTGCAATTTGAGTGTTTATCTGATTTATTTAGGTTTTGTTTTACTAAAGTAAGCAGGCCGCTGACTGTAATAACCTCAGCAGGGATCTGCCTGTTACCTTATATTTTGCGTAATGTACTTTCCCCTTGCTGTTTTGGTGTAAATTGTTACAGAATGAAATAACATTACTTATTTAGCTAAACTAGTGCACATGCAGCTTATCATTAAATATTACTTTTTTGTAACAGGTGGATTGATGGTCCCATAAACGCACCCACATGGAATATTATACAGTATGTGAAACTGTCAAACAATGTAGAGACTTTTTTATTTAACACCATAACAAAATATTAAGAGGTTTAATTAAAACAGTAAATTATAGCAAAATTAGATGGAAAACTGGAAAACAAAGGTTTTAAGTTAGAATAGTTTTTAAGTAGCATTTGACTGCTTGGTTATTTATTGTAACCTTATATGGTCGTAAATACAGTACATTGTAAAAAAAAATAAATGCAAACAACAATAGTTGAGTTATGGAGCCGTTATCCCCGAGATCTTCCCCTCTGCCCACACAGAGGGGATCACAGTCAGTCAAAGGGCAACCAGCATTCCTTAACTGCTGCAACATGTTTTTCTGCTCACACCATGGAAGAGCTGCTGGAGAGAAACTAACAAGAAAAACAAAAGATTTCAATAAAGGAAACAACCTGACCATTTAGTGGCGTCAATGAGGTATTTCAAATGTCATCTTTAAAAGTGTTAATCTAATGAGCCAAAAACAAAACATACTGCATTTAGGAAAGGGACATTCACAACTGACAGCACAACTCCCAAGGCTACGGGGAAGAAGGACCTACAGAGGAAAACAAAACAGTGTCATGGGAAATCCTCTCTTTGCATAATGGAGTCTTTTTCAGTGATTGATCACGATCTGATGTGAGCATTTACAACATCAGATACAGAATCAGTACAGAATTTCTGAGATGACTAACATAAGCATCTTCTTTCAGTGGACTTATTTCACTGTGGCATATACTTCAGTAACTGCATATGGCGGTTATTATGTAGCTGTATTATTTAGATCATGCTGTTCCCAAATCAAACTGGCAATCTTAGTGGAAAATATATTTTATGGGTTTCGCACATGGGTGTGGCAAAATGGCTTGCTAGCGCCCCCTATAGAGCAGCCCTGGCAAAAGTTTCACCTACGTCTACGAAATTTGTGTGGCACATATCGTATCATATCAATGTGTATCATATCAAGACGTACTAAAAAGCCTCTTGGAGCGATGCCCGACACCCAACAGGAAGTTGGACATTTTTGATATAATGTTCATTTTTGGCGATTTACACACTTTGTACTTTAATGAACTCATCCTAGAGAATTAGTCTGATCAACTTCAAATTTTTGATGTCCAGTCTAAATCCACTGACGATTAAAAATTATTCAAACGGTTATTACAAGTCGACCAGTTTGCCCGTGGCGTGTCATCGAAAATTGGTGATTCGCCATGAAACAGGAAGTTGTTATAACTTCAGTACACCTAATCACATCACACAAGTATAACAATAGTCCTGCTCTGAACACATCCATATGCCAATATTCACTTGAAGTCATAGCGCCACCTATTGGCAACAGGAAATGACACATTTTACGCTGTAATGTATTACTCCAAGCAGATTGGACGTATCAACTACAAAACTGTCCCAGAAAACCCTTAACACATTGATAAAGCCATGATGTAAAACTTGTGAGTTTTCGGTTAACGGCGTGGCGGTGGCATGGCAGCAAAGCCCCACGCTTCGCCATGACACAGGAAGTTGTTGTAACTTGACTGTACAAGCTCAGATTTGTACCAAATTTTACACGTTTAACAAGAGTCCCACCCCGAACACATGTTCAAGACAACATTGACCCATAGTCATAGCACCACCTGCTGGCAACAGGCACGTTTTACCTACATGTATGACATTTCTGTAGCACATGTATCATATCCAGACGTACCAAAAAGCCTCTTGATGCCCTAAACCCAACAGGAAGTCGGGCATTTTGAATTTTACGGTCATCTTTGGATGATTTACACGCGCCGTACTTTAGCGAACTCCTCCTAGGGATTTAAGTGCAATTTATACTTCTGCGTCAAATCGATGGCGTAGCCTCTGCGCAGCTCCCTACCCTACGCTGTCACTTACGGCTTAGCCTGATGTGCACCTCCTAAAAAATGTAACTACAAGTCGAGGCGTCGCGGACCGTAAGCTCAATGATTGGTCAGCTGGGTAGCCTCGCAATGCCTCCTAGCTGACATGAAGTGCCCGTGTTTTGAAGTAACTTTTACTAGCAGCCAAAATGGCGGCTGTAACACGGTGCATCAATATATTTGACCGTCACAACCCGAGCGAAATGACTCGTTTCATTATCAGGATGTGATACATTCAGTCGATAACATTTGAAATGGGTGT